TGAGCCTCCTGCTCTAGAGGACCCAACAGAGGCCATACCTGTCTCTACACCATGAGGTATTTGTAGAGCTGAGAGGTGTCATCTGGAGCCCGTGATGTCCCCCGACTACCCATAACAATCTGGCTTCTTGGGATGCTGCAATTCCCTGCCCAAATAGCCCTGCGCCTGCTTCCAGGCCTATGAGGCTTCTTCAGATTCATTTCCCCAAGGGCATACTCTGACGCAGTGTGCATATCCCTACACCCAGAGACTTTCTCTGCTCTTTCTAGTGAAGCTACCTTATGTAAAATTGCAACAGTTTCATCCCTCCAGCATCCCTTTTACAAAGCATTCGTTACCATCTAACATCCCATAGAATATGCTCATTTATTACATCATTGCCTGCCATCTTTCAGAAGAATTTAATCACTAAAAGGAGAAGGATCTTTTTTTTTGCTTGCTACTATGCCTTCAAACCCTAGAACAGTGTCTGGCAGTAAGTAGGCACTTGATTATTATTTGTTGAATGAATTATCCCTTTACCTAGCAGGCAGAACAACCTCCTGAATACCGAATAATCAAATCTGACCATGTCACGTCTACTTCAAAGACTCCAATAACCTCCATTACTTACAAGGTAAAGTTCCGCTGACCCAGCCCTTCCTGTCTTAGCCACAGAGAAATACATACACTTTCCGTGACTAGGACCTCACAGGTGCTTTGAGAATTTAATCTCTCACATATGATCTCTTCTTATTTTTTCTGATCTTAGTTTTTCTCTATCTCAATTTTTTTATGAGCTTAACAAATTTGTGTGGCATCATAAATATCTCAAGCAACCTTCATCCTTACATATTTAACACAAGTGGATAAGCTTTTCCTGCCTTAAGCTGTTTTTTTCTGCCAAAATTGTATCTGTTACTTACCTCTAGCAGTTCATTTATTACTGGTATGTGAATTGTTACACTTCTGTCTTCCCTGTTAGAACAAGAGCTTTCTCTACTTTATTAGGTCCTTATGACTGCTGAATGGACACATGAATGAGTGCTTCATGCATAACAATTTAGCATCCTACCCAGGAATCTGAGATAACTGACCCCAGTTGGCTCCTTCCTCTACTGGAGAAACAGGAAACTTAATTAGGTTGTTTATTTTGGACCCAATAAGAAAGAAGCTTCCATTGATGAGAACCACTTGCAACAGAATGGGCTGCTAATAGTGTGGGGATGTCATCGTCTGGGGAACAAGCAAAGGGTGAATTTGAAGCAAGTTTCCATAAGAGGTAGGAGGTGATCACTTTTTAACGGTAAGATTATTTACAAGGTTATAAACATACAAAAGAATGTTTCTGCAGGTATATCAAACCCCTCACCAACCTCTCTTAAAATATTAGTTAATCTGGATAATTACCCTGTCCTCTGGGTTCCTTAGGAGAACCAGATTTTCTGAAAGAGAATGTTCTTGGAACTTTAGTGTTAGGGAAGCATGAAATCTTTTATACCCAGGCAGGCAAGGGCTGGAAGAGTTTATTTAGAGCACCTACGGAGTGTACTGCCAAAATTAATGAACTCAATGTGTCATTTAAAGAGCATCCATGTGTAAGGGACTCCTTTGGCCAAATGAGCATTGTGATGACTCTTCTCCACAAGATGAAATGGAGGTGTTCAAACCCCCATACCCCCTCTTGGTGCTCCTCTTTGCAAATTCACCTCTGTTTTGGATATAAATATCTAACTGTTTATGCCTGCATGGCTGTCCCTTTTCATCTTAATTGTACATTCCCTATGTATGTGTTTGTTTTTGCTAGACTTTCCATCAAGCACAGGGTGCTTGGTGTAGCTATTTTATCAGGGAAGATGGCCTCTAGTGAATATACTGGAACAGAAATAGAAAAGTAGTTTTTAATCAAATGATCAGTTTACATCTCATAGTGGTTGAGGTCAAATTGTGATATGAAATGGAGCAGAACAACATAAGATATCAAATTTGAGAACACTTTCTGGTGGCTCCAGTAGAAGTCAAAAAGGGCCCTCTTGGTGAAGAGATGCTCAGGCTTGACAGTGAGAAGTGAAAGATACTCATTTTAGATTCGTAAAAAGTCTCACTCAGATTGCTGCCCTGCCTTTGCTTTTCCTATGGAAGCTGCTTCTCTTCAAGGCACAGTGGAAAAGCTCTGAGCAAGGCATTACGAGACACCTGTCAATTTAACTTAAGTTCAAATTTAACTTAAATTCAAATTGCATTCTCAACTTTTTTAGGCCCTTAAGCACTGCACTCCCACTTTTTGCAAGTCTTTGAATTAGACTATGGAGAATCAATAGAAGGATTCGTGTAAGAAAGGGTCCCTGCCCTTAAAGGCATTATAAATAGTAAGAAGGCTAAAATTATATACACATGAAAAATAGTAAGAAGTGGTTTAAAAGGTTTTGCATAAAAATGCAAAAATTCTGAAAGTTGACTAGGAGGAGGGAGACTTCCCAGGTAGGTGGGATTTGAACTGAGTCTTTGAAGCACTGGTAGGATGGATTTGGAGAGTTGGAGCTACTTTTGAAGGCACTGCAGGTAGCCTAGAAGCAAAGTCTCAGAGGTACAAACACACAGGGCTTGTTGTTGACAAAGAACAGCCTAACTTGGCTGGTAATACAGGATGAGATGAGAACATCAAGGGCTTAATGCCAGGTAGAGCTGCAATGTGATACAATGAAAGTCACTCAGAAACTGAGTGATAGTACCATAGGAGTGGTTGAAATAGATTAAATTTGTGCGTATTTCTTTTTTCCAGTATGGAGGAGGAAGAGTGGAACTAAAAGCCAGATGACACTCAACTAGGAGGTCATGGTATTCATCCAGATGTTTGGTGAAGCCTCTGATTTAGAGTCAAGGGAAGAAAGGGAGAGGAAGGAGAAACTTATTGTAAGACAGTTGACAGGACTTGACAAAACAATTGACAAGTGATCAGCCACACAGGAAAGAAAGAGAAGCAGTAAGTTGACTGGTTTTGGGGCCAGACTATCAAAACAATATTGGTACTGTTAAGGGGGGTGGGGGAATAAAATATAAGATTAAGAGCTAATTTTTAGAGGACATACTGTGAGTTGGGTTTGAGTCACAAGATAAGGCAAGGCATTCAAGAAAAACGTAGGTCTAAAGTTTGGGACACAGTTCAGGGCTAGAGATAAAGAAGTATTCCCAATATGGAAATGTTAGTTTACATTGGGGAATTAATTAATTATCTGGGGAGGGGAGAGAGTATAAAAAGAAACATTAGAAAGAAAAGATCTGAACTTTGAGGAATGCCCCAAAATTTGGAAAGCAGGATAGGAGACTAGAGAAGGCAGAGAAGAAATGGCCCTAAGAATATGAAAAGCTTCTGCATTGCAGTATCTCATAGTTAAGGGAGGAAAATCCCAAGAAACAGCTAACAGAGAGGTTGAGAGATCAGATCTGGGAACCAGCCCCTAGGGGTGTCAGAGAGTGCTGTAAGGCCCCGAGGTGATTGGGGCTGAATAAACCTTCAGGTTCCTTTATCTATCCTGGAATTCTGAGTTGATTTGAAGATTAGGGAATAGAAGCTGAGGCATACCTGCTTCAGGAAGAGCAGAGTGTGAGATGAGGATGTCAAGCTGCAGTTGCATTTATAGGGTAACCCAAGTATGACATGGTTAAGGCATATGGTGTGTTTCAACATTACCATTTGAATAAAAATGACACACAACAATCTATATCACTATCCCACACATTGTACATTGAGCTGGCTCTGAAGCACGACCTCTATATAACACTGTCTCTGAGGACATCTGCAACAATTCTTTCTCAAATCACCCCCAAGCTGCCCCCTGTATGTTGCACAAATATTGCACATCTGGTGATTCACTTGTCATTTCATCAAATCAATTAATTCAACAGCTCAGCAAGCACCCAATAAGCACATATGCATGTTATGAGGTACTGTGTTAGGCACTCGGAATTCAGAGAACCTAAAAGGTGTGTTTCTTGCCTATGAAGAGCTCCAGTTTAATGGAAAGGCTCACAGACAGAGGAAATCTGAGGAGAAGACACCCTGAAGCAGTAGTCAAGGAAGAGCCTGCTGATAGTGAGAGTTCAGGTAATGAAGGTGAATAGACCAGTTTTGAGTGGCAAGATTGATACTGCAATCTTTGTAGTATCTTGGGCTTGGAAGGGAGCTTGGAGAATATCTAGGTCAACTGGCATTTGACTCCTGATATGACTGTCTGATAACTGCTCACACTAAATATTTTTTCTGTGCAGTCAGTGTATGTCTCCTCTACTTTCATAGAATCATAGAATTTTAGGGTTAGAAGACCTTATTAGTAGGCAATTTCACTCAAGCTTCACCTCCTCACTTCAACTCCCCTCACATGAATCCATTGTCATTTCTTTTTTATGTATATTCAGGTCGTGAGCAATAAATAGCAATAGTTGCAATTTTTTTCATTTTGCTAACATTTCTCTCATCATTTTATATAGAAAAATAAGCCTTCTGGTAGGTCCCAAATCATGCTTCTGTTAAATAATAGCTGCCTATCTTATAAGTCAATGCAATTATAATTCTTAAAAATTTTTAAACAGCTTATTCTTAGAGTATAGCTTATAAACTCAGGCTAGCCTGGAATATTGATTGCCTGCCAACCTGGAAGACTGACTGCCTGCCAAAGCGATAATCATAAAAAAATGTCAGATTCAGGAAAACAAAATTTTAAGTTCCTTTTGAGGCATAATCTCAAAAATTGTTTTTTTTCAGTGCACGTTTTGTGCAGAAAAAAAAATCTTACCTCATAAAACTGCCCAACAAGAATAATAAATGGAGGGACAAGCAAGCCCCTACTATTTGGGGGACAGGAGAAAATTAGTTTGTGTCCCTGAGCACAATGGCTGAGAGAATTTCTCCTACCTCTAATGATGTGGAGAGAACATGTGCCTACAATGACCCCACCACAGCATCTCAGCATAGTCTACACCAACTCCAGGTACGAGAAAATCTTAACCCACTTAATACTCACATCAGGATGTAGCAGCACTCCTCAGGCAAAGATACAAAAGAAAATAAAACAACCAGTTTCTCTTTGCGGCAGACTGCCTCACAGAAGCCAACTAAACCAACAGTCAAAACAAAACAAAAATTGCTGCCTAGACCACTGCAACAAGCAGAAGCTCCAAGCCAAGCCTGCTTCTAGCTGGCAGAGGGACCATATGAAGATGAGTAACAAAAAGGCATCAGAAAAGGTACATTAAGGAAGAGAAGAAAAGATGCTGTCATCTCCATCCAGCTCAGGCTTCCTGGTAACAGAAGGGTAATGGTAATTCAAATCAGAAACTGTTCTGAGGAATGGACTGAAGCCCAGCCTACTGAGAACTTTTGGTTTTGCTTTCAGCATTGCTTCTTTGCATGCAGATACCCCTTGAGCTGTGTGCCTGGGAAAGCTGGTGCAAACTAAGTAGGTGAAGGGGAGGCAAAGAATACCAGCATGTTCTAGCTCTGCATCAGAAACTTTACACAGGCATCCTTATCAGTTTCCTTGGGCTGCCGTCGCAAATTACCACAAACCGGGTGGCTTGAAACAGTAGACATTGTAGTCATAGTTCTCTCACAGTTCTGGGGGCTAAAATTCTGAAATCGTGTCACAGGGCCACCCTCTTTCTGAAGGATCCAGGGAAGAATGCTTCCTTGCCTCTTCTGAGCTTCTGTGGCCCCTAGCAAGCCCTGACATTCTTCTTGGTTTACAGCTGCATCACTCCAATCTGTCTTGATCTTGATGTTCTCTCTGTGTGCATCTTTGAGGGTCCTCTCCTTGTCTTATAAGAACACCTGCCAATGGATTATTGTCCACCCTAATCCAGTATGATCTAACCTTAACTTACTACATCTGCAAATACCTACTTCCAAATGTGGTCATATTCTTTTTATTTATTTATTTTTATTTTTATTTATTTTGGTATTATTAATCTACAATTACATGAGGAACATTATGTTTACGAGATTCCCCCACCACCAAGTCCTCCCCACATACCCCATTACAGTCACTGTCCATCAGTGTAGTAAGATGTTATAAAGTCACTACTTGTCTTCTCTGTGTTGTACAACCCTCCCTGTGCGCGCCCCCCACATTATGTCTACTAATAGTAATGCGCCCCTTTTTTCCCCCCCTTATCCCTCCCTTCCCATCCACCCTCCCCAGTCCCTTTCCCTTTGGTAATTGTTAGTCCATTCTTGGGTTCTGTAAGTCTGCTGCTGTTTTGTTCCTTTAGTTTTTTTCTTTGTTCTTATACTCTGCAGATGAGTGAAATCATTTGATACTTGTCTTTTTCCACCTGGCATATTTCCAAATGTCATATTCTGAGGCTCAAGGAGGACATGAATTTGGGGGGAACACTATTTAACCCACTACAGTACTTCATTTCATTCTTGGAACAACTTGCTGTCTAGATACTGTTAGACCCATTTTATAAATGAAGACAGTCAAGATTAAGCAACCTTTCCTCAGTTGCATGACTGAATTTGAATTTAGGCCTCTGTGCTCCCACTACACTGTTGGCATTTCAGTGGCCACACTAAAACCAGATGTTAAGAACAGGCTCACTTAAATGCAAGCCTGGATGACCAATCCCATTCTACCACCCTTTTCTCATAAAGGTAGGATCAGCAGAGACAGGGCTCTGATGCTCAGACAAGGATGTTTTCTTAGACACATTTCTCTAATGTTTTCTTGCCCTTGACCCGTGCCTTCCTCTGTCTCCTGTGCTTAATTGTTTTTCTTCTGAAAAAGCTGTCTTCTCCTTTTCTCCTTCTTGTTCTTTTTACTCCATCCCTCAAACAAGAAGGAATGAAACTTGTAGCTACAAAGGGGTGTGGCTGCCTAGACCCCCAAAATGGGGCTGTGTCTGTATGAAGCCATCCTTCCTCGAGGGACCTGCTTCTCCATCCACAGCTCCAAGATGCAGTTTCAATGTGACTCCCTAGCTCTCACCTGACCTTCCTTCCCCTGCCACCATGACTGGGGTGATCCCCTTTCCACACTTTCCTGTGGGCTCTTTCTCCACACACCTTGGTTTGAGAAAACAGACATCTCAGAGCAAGAGAGGCCTAGGTGTTTTCATAAGAGGGCCCAAAATAAAGCTTGAACTAATACCTCTGTGTATTTTTCTGCCTCATAACCTGTATTTCTCAAAAAAATACTGGAAGGGTAGATACCAAAATGTTAATAAAGGTATTTCTGGGTGGAAGACTTGCACGTGATGTTTTAGTTCTTCTTTTTGCTTACATTTTGTTTCCTAAATAACTTGCCATGAATACAAATTACTCTTCTAAAGACATAGAAAACTTAAAAAAATCAGTAATGGAGAATATAGATAAATTTCTAAACAATAGCAATAGGAAAACATTCTAAGAACTTGGCAAAGGGCTTGTGTTTATTTCTATTTTATTTAATTTAAATTTGTTCATTTTATAACAGAAGATCCCTGAGAAACAGCTAAATTGTATGTGTGTGTGTGTGTGTGTGTGTGTGTGTAGGATGCAGGCCCCTCAATGTTGCATTGATACTTGGTAATGGAAAATTAGAATTTAGGTCATAAATATTGCACCATAATAAGCACAATAATAATCTCACCAGTGAACACAACCAATCTATGAGGTCCCTTTCATTTTACAGAAGGGAAAGTTGAGACAAAGAGAGAGACTACACAGCTTAATCAGCTTCATCCTGTGAGTTTATTTCTGTCCTTTCTTCTCAAAATATTTTCCTCCAAATATAATGCAATACAATGTAATACAATGTGTGTCATATCATGTAATGTGATGTAAATGCTCACCTAAAGGACCTAGAACACTGCTTGCCATATAGTGGATGTGAAGTCAGTGTAAACTATTTCAAATCCAAAAAATAAGTAATTTTTTCTCAATCTTGACCTTATAGAGAAAACAAAAGAACCCAGCCTAAGTAGGACAAAGAAATGCACCCAGGGTTTGGGGATCATAGGCAAAGAGCAAGAACTCAGCAAGAGGTGGGAGCTGCAAGAAGCCAGTAGTTTATCTACAGCAGCTTTAGCAACCTTCAGGAACCAGGGCTTTGACATGAGTTTATCTGGGGTGTGACGAAAGGGAATGATAGCTACGCTCTTCCTTTGAAAATGGAGTTAAGTCATAGGCAGCTATGGGCAGAGAGAAGAGAGAGGAGTCTACATGGGGCCACCCCCAAAATTGGCCTTCCTTGAGTCACGGTCAGCCCAGGGGCTAGATGTTGGTCCTTTGTCGTCATACTAGAAGTCACATGCTTGGCTTGGAATCCCAGCTGATCTCTGCCTGCTAAAGAAGTCCTCACCTCGAAGTGAGGAAAGCAAGGTGTAAATGGATGTTCTGGCTAGAGCAACAGAGGTGGTTAGTTGTTTTTAAAGCAAGGAGATCCAGATTTAGCTCTTTCTCTGAAAGGAGCTCAGATAAAAGAGACATTTATTATAAGTTTAATGGGTTGATAGGAGCTACTGATTAATTATTTTTCCTGTGCCAGTTGCTACCATATTACTTAATAGGAAATAAATACTGGGGAGATGGCTTCTTGCTGAGTAAAAAAGTTAGAGAAGTCACAAAAGTCAAATTTCAGGGGGGTCTAATTCCTCAGGTGAGTCTCCCAGGTGCAGGAGTAGGGGCAGGAAATGAGAAGAGATGGGGGTGGGAGAGGTCGAACTGGTCTACCGGCCTTGTTACAAGTGAGAGATTTGAGAGACAAGGAGGAGGTTCTGGAGGCTAGGAGGGAATGTATACTGTCCTCTTTCCCTCTCATTTTGGGGAGAAGAAGAGGATGCTAGACACATATCCTGAGGTTTGAGAGTGCCCTTACATAGAGATGAATATCTGCTTCTTGTCTGGAATTTTTGAACGTGGGAGGTTCACTACAGTATCCCATGCCTAGACTTCTGCAGGGCTATAGGGTTGTTTTCTGGGATGGAGAAAATGGGGCACCCTTCATCCCATGCCCCTGAGTCCTCAGTGACCACCAAAGACTCCTATAGTTACTGTGGCTTCAGGCAACCAGGGAGGGAAGCCAAAGGCACAGGTAAACAGGGCTGATTCAGCTTATGACATGCTCCCAGGACTAAATGGAAGAGGGTATCTATCTCCTGAAGTCTGCACCAACACCGCTTGGCCTTAAGGCCTGGGGAAGCAGACGCAGTGTTTGGACCATGAGGAGTGGGCATCTGAATTCAATCTCAGGTAAAGGAAATCAGAGGCTCTCACAATGACTCAGGTTTCAACCCAGTTAAAAAAAAATATGAAATGATGATTCATCTCTTCAAATGCAGTCAGGGGTGGGAGGAGACAGCTGACTCATGTTTTGGGGTCAGATCCATCATTCCCAAACTTGGCAGCACATCAGAATCCCCTAAGGAACTTTAAAAACACAGAGAGGGCTGGCCACTACTCCAGACTTCCTGATCCAGTCTGCAGGGGTGAGGCCCAGAAATCTGCATTTTTTAAACTTTGATCAGGTGGTCCTGAAGTAACCAGCCTTCTCTAATTGGTGGCACCTTCTCTAATTGGTGGCTCAGCATATTAGGGAATCCTATGGTTTAATGACATTGGTCACAACTGTCCTTGTAAAGAAAGTGAGTGAAAAGGAGAAAAGAAAGGTGAGAGCCCAAATAGTGGCCATTTCAGCATGTGGCATATACCTAGTCAGGCTTCGATTTTCTTTCACTGAGAAGAGCTGGCATCATGATTCTCAGTTTTCCAATGGGGGAACAAATGGAAGCACTCAGAAATGAGTTGATCTCCCCTAAGATGGCAGAGTTAGTGGCAGGTTGGTTTTTGGAAACCATGGTAACTGGTTAGAGGGGGCACTAAGTGTAAAGTTGAGAGTGCAGTTGACATAGAGGGCAGAGAAGCTGGATCAGTCTCTATTCCTTACTAGCTGTGTGACACGCACTGCTCTGAGTGTTGGTGGTAAAGTGCCTAAACTAAGAGGAGTTTTGCAAATGATATTTCATAATTTATAAAGCATGCATAGAATTTCTTGAGTTAGGTAATTGACATAAAATAGGGCCTGCTGGTTCCTTTTGCTTAAGTGGCAAGTTAAAAATTTATTTAATGATCATTCTTACTCTGAACTTAAATGAGGTAGAAAAGAGAAAACAAAAGATAAGAAATTATTATATAAGCACTACTTTCTCTAACTTACTCTGGAATCAAAATGTCTTATACTAACTCTATATAGGATGTTTATTAACTGAACAACATTATGTTCCAGGCACTGGGAATGCAGAGGTACATAAGACATTGCCTCTGCCTTGAGGGGC